CATACATATTTGCAGGATCAGAAAGTCTTACTTTATCCTTTACAAAAATCATTGAAAACAGTTAAGTGTCCTTTTAAAGGAGAGCTGCAGCTTTAGCTCCTACAGATTTTTATATATTGGGTGGTACATTATCATTATTTCAAAATGCATTCGAATTTCCCTTTTGTTTTTTTCTTTGACCTGTGGGTTATCTGGAAGTATGTTGTTTAATTTCCAAATGTTAGAGATTTTCTTCATGGCTTTCCATTATTAACTTCTAATTTGATTCTGCTATTGTCAGAGAAAACACTGCGCATGATTTCAATTCCTTTTAAATTATAAAGACTTGGCTAATGGCTTAGCATATGGTCTTACATTTGGAATTAAAATAATAAAGCTGATAATTGCATAATTTAGCCCAACTACCTTCATGGTGGATAAGTTGATTCAAAATATCAGTCATTTATAGTAGGCCTGAGTGGGGAAAGACAAACTAAAAAAATGTTTTTAATTAGGCAAAGGGTACATTACTTCTCATGGGAAAATGAATAAGCAATTTATTTTTAGGGACTTGAATATTCTTTTCACCCCAAGTGTTGACTAAAGGACAATGAAATAAATATACTCTTATGTTAAGAGTCACACCATTTTTTTTAAAACAAATGCTAATGACTTCCTTTACCTCTGGAAATGAAGGGATGTAAGATAACAAAAAATGAAGGAAGAAGAAGTTTAAAACTTATGCCAGGGGAAACTGTACAGGACATTTGTACAAAGAAATGACTAGCAAAAGAGACCACTTTTTTAGACACAAGATTTATTATGTTAAAAAGCTGTGTGCAATAAAAATATAAACATTTTTGCCCAAACATTGACTAATCCATCATAGGAGAAACAAGCGTTAAAAACCCACTTTTCTATTCCTAAAATGGGCTATACCTTTAAAGTACTGAAAAATTCAAACAAAATAAATACTCAGCACTGACTATCTTACTTTAGGCAAAAACCATTGAGCTAAGCAAATTTCTTTCCAGTGCTGTTTAAACACGGGATTCCAAGGTAAACCTTATTTAGATGAGTTTCTAGTCAAGGCTTTGACCTACATAATATAATTTGTGTAAATCAAAAAGCCAAGCAATATCCTTGAAGGAAGGGGCTAAAAATGGTTTAAAATTTTTCAGCTCAGAGATAAACACGTACCAAAGAAACATAAATTTTCGCAAATAGTTGGCACTAAACAGCTCAGTAGAGAGGACAGTAAAGGCCCAACTTTTAAACTGTGGTTCTGTAAGTGTTGTGGAAGCTGTGTTTCCCAGTTTCAGCTGTAATCATTGTGAGTATTCCGGAACTAACAGTCACCTCTTCATCTAAGGTTCCACCAATCCAGCCCCTTGTCTACGGCCTGCTAACAACAGGCTGTGGCAAGATAAGAGCAGGCAATATACTGACTTGATTGCGTTCCTACTGGAACAGACGCTACTTTGACAAACCCGGGTTAATGAAAATGTCCCTGTCCAAAGATGTTTTTGAGGAAGGCCTAGTGGCTCATGCCTGTAATCCCAGCACTGAAGGAACCGGAGCAGAAGGATCATGGAGAGTTCAAGGCTGGCTTGCACTGTACATTTGAGATCCTGTCTCTAGCAGCCAAGGCTTCTTTTGGACTTTCTTACAAAAATCCTGAACTCAAGCCAGAAAGCAATCTCATCCACCAGATCGACAACTGTACCTTTTTTAGGCATTAGATTAGATTTTCTTATACAGCTCCCTATTAAAATGGTTTCAATGCCAAACCAAGCTTTGGGAAACAGAGCACACTCTATCTAAGGTATTTTATGGCATCTGGCATTGGGATCAGTGTTGTAATGAAAAGAAGAAAGCAGCCTAAAGCACTTTGTCCTGGAAAGATGTTTTCTTTCTTTTCTTTCTATTTTGGATGTGATGCTGATGGAGGGAAGACATGGCCTACTGCATGCCAGGCCAACACCCTACCACTGAACTATATATGCTCAAACCTCCAGAAATGAATCCTTACTACAGGAGACAGGGACAAAGCCTTCTGTTCTTACAGATCATGAAATATTATTACCACAATTTTTATTTTCATAAAACTAAGTTTCAGAGCTTGCCTAAAGAAATTAACCCATCTTTATGACCAATTCCTGACAAAATGATGGAGGACAATGGCTTTCCGTCAGGTGCACCAGCCTTAACGGTGGAAAACATTAGGCTTTGATGGAGAAGTATTTAGGGGGAAATGTATCAACCCATTTGTAAGAAACATGGCAAAGTCTTCTAGCAATGAAGAGAGGCAGTTCTTTGTTTCCCTGGGGAATTTCTTTGAATCTGAAGAGTATATAGTATTCCTACACAGCAATCAGCTTATAATCATACAGCCTTATTAAAGATCCCCACCGCCAGAGTATAAGTCAGAGGTCACTCCGCACAGTCATCTGGATACCAGAAAGTAAAGACTTAAAAGTCAAGCTTCGCTCTAAGCCACTCTGAGACAGAATAAAAGCTTAGAGTCTGCACCAAGAGATCGAAATTCAAGTCCTGCTCATCTGCCCATCGTACAGAAGCTGTCCAAGACTCCGTTTCTGATTGCAAACCCTACCTTACCCAATAATTACATTATATAAGATTAAGCATGTCAAACATCCAACATAAGACAAAAATACTGTATTTATTTACTAAATTGACACTTGTATTGGTACTGTTATATTCATAACTAGAAAATAATTTCAAATTAGGCTATTTTGTTCATGTTAACATTGGAACTACACAAAGTCAAAAACTCCTTGTAATGACTTCTGAGCTTATTTTGGCTGTTTTTGTTCATTTTGGTTTGCTTTTGCTTTTGTTTTACACCGAATCTCAATATGTAACTCTGGGTAGCCTAGAACTCACTATGTAGGCCAGGCTGGCCTCAAATGGACTTTGAGCTTTTTAACACCAAATCAATTTCAACCTCCATCCTCCCAACCCCCTGTGTGTGTGTGTGTGTGTGTGTGTGTGTGTGTGTGTGTTTCTGTCTGTCTGTCTCCAAGCTCTCACATAGTTGCTAAACCCTGGACTCATCATGTAGCTAAAGATGACCTTGAATCTCTTATCTTACCTCCACACATCTGAATTGCTGAGGTTATATATGTGTGTATATATATGCATATATGTGTACATGTGTGTATGTACGTGTGTGTGTGTATGTGTGTGTGTGTGTGTGTGTGTGTACCTTCATGCCTGATTTATGAGATTCTGGTGAAAAAACCCAAGACATTTTGCATGTCAGACAAGTATTCTACAAACTGAGTTACATCTCCAACCCCCCAAGTATCTCTTTAAATTTAGACTTTTCAACAATGAAGCATATAATTTTGGTAGCTGTAACAAAGTATTACAATATATTTGATAGCATACTGCCCTTTTATAAGGTTGGTTTTGTTTTCCTATGGGGACTGAAAGCAACACTGTATTTTTAGATGCATATCACATATCAGAACACATTCTGTGGTCTTTTCAACATGAAGCCTTTAGCCATGGTGATGTTACAAGGGCAAACACAACCCATGCTGCTTTCACAGTACTCTTCCCGAAAATGAGATGAGCGATCAAAACACACTGTGAATGCCACCTGGACCTGAAAGAGGTGGCTCCTGAGCGTCCTTTGTTGTAAATCCTGGTGGGAAAAGCAGATCTGGTACCAGAAGACTAAAGATGAGGAGAATAAAACTCCTGGTTTCAAAACAATAGGATGGAAGAACAGAAGTGGTTGGAGCATCCCACGTGACACCAGTGCTTTGACTGCTGGTCCTGTACACGATTCTCGAAGAGAGTTGAGAGAATGGGCTATGACAGCACAGAAAAGTGAGGCTGGGTCCTGCCAGGCAGTGCTGGCTCCCCAGGGACAAAGCAAACCTCATCTCCTCCTTTGACAAGGCTAGCAGCTGGGCAGATTGAGGAACTACAGAGAGTGGACAGGATCTGTTTGGGCTTAAGTGGGGAGTCAGACAACAGCCCTCCTGACAACTTCAAGCTCATGATGTAAAGGCATGTGGGCAGTGTGTTAGGCAAAAAACAGGTGAACCAGGTTGCCATCACCGTCTAGTAAGTGGCAGTCTACAGAAGATGCCCAGAGGCAGGGTTTTGTCCTCCATCCTTCTGCTCGATGAATGAATACTATTATATTGCAGATTGCCAAACAAAAACAAGTATTCATATGGCAATCCATTCCCAGACTTCCCTATATACCTGCTCAGACAAGAATCTTCACAACAAAGCAAAAATGTGAGAATATTTTACTTCCATGAAATGTACTTTCTGTATTGATTTTGTGTGTGTATATATATGAGTCCCTACGTGTCCTGGTGCACTTGTGAAGGCCAGAGGAAGTCTCTTCTCTCCTTCCTCCTCGTGGGGCCTTAGAGAGGTTTGACCTTGGCAGAAAAATGTCTTGTCCTTCTGAGCGATCTTGCTGGCCCTTTAGTTCCCATCTTATAGAAAACAAGCAAACAAGAAGGAACCTGGGACCTTGCTGCAGAGAAAAGACTCCTTGGATGTCCCAAACCAGCAGAACTGTTATTTAACCTCCAGCCCCAACTCTTCCGACTCTTCGGCCACAACCTGGTGCAGGAAAAACTACAGATACACCGGTCACAGGGTAAAAGAAAATCGACATGAAGTAAGAGGCATCATCTGAGAAGTCACCTCAGTTAGGGGCCCAGCGCGCCCATAAAGAATCATTTCACCCACCGATGTCTTGAAACATGCAGCTCACTATGATTGATGAGATGGTCTAGTCGAACCAAGCTGTGCTATAGATTTAGAACAAAAAAACAACAACAACAACAAAAAAGGATCACCCTCCTTTCCCTCAGTTGGTCATAGGCCATCCTTTCTCACACCAGAGGTCCATTGTCACATTACAAGGCTAAACGGTTTGGGCAGCGCCTGTTGAGAGCTGGTGCTCCACGATGGGCCATGTAGCCACTGGCCACTGGAACAGATCTGCGGCTCTTGACGCTGCCGTTCACTATAGTCACTGGCGCACTGGGAGAAAGCTCTCAGTCACTGTGAATGAGCATCTGCATGGTTCCCTCCTGGACTCACTGCAGGCTCTCAAAGCCCAAAGGAAGCAGCTGTGAAAGGTGGAGCCTTGTTGGGAGTTCAACATGGAGATCCCAGAGGTACTTCTGACCTGGAGAGCTGCAACTGATGACGCTGTCTCCCACTTCCGATTCACTGGGGCCCTTCTTTATCTCTCTTGATGATTTCTGGGAGAGTGGCCTCTAGAGGCTCATATGTTTGAATACTTGGTCTCCAATTGGTGGAACTGTTTGCAAAAGATCGGGAGGATTCTGCCATGCTGAAGAAGATATGCCGCTGGAAGTGGGCTCTGAGGTTTCAAAAGACTCCTACTAATCTCAGTGTGTATCCCCTCTCTGTTTCTCTCTCTTTCAGTTGTAGATCAAGATCTAAGCACTCAGCTCTATCTTCACTGCACCAATATGAACTCTAACCCTCTGAAACCATAAGCCAAATTAAGACCCTTCTTTAGTAAGCTGCCACGGTCGTGGCACTTCATCACAGCAATAGAAGTGTAACTAAGACAGCCTCCTCGATGAAGTTCTAGCATTCATTGTATGTCCTGTTTCTCCACCAAAAAGCCTGAGCTAATCCTGGGGGTCTGGAGTTCCAGAAGGAGGGAGAATTATGGAGGCCCCAGACAGTCAGGACTTGAAAATCCTCAGGAGGGGTCTTCTCCTTGTTCTCATCCTGACCAGGTGCCACCAGGCTTGGAGCTGTAAGAACCACGGCAAGAGATAACTACATCCAAGGCAACCAAATGGAGGGTAATGGCAGCCCACCAAAACAGCAAACCAGGGAAAGGGGCTCCAAATAGCAAAGGAAATCCATATTTAAGCATATGCTCCGCTTCCTGTGCCAATGATATCCGAGCTTGAGAAAGTGTGCATGCCCTCAGGCACTGAAACAGGATAATCTGGGTTTGACTTCCGTGTCCAGACTCCTTTTCTCCAACTATGTCGCAGCCACTGCCGTTCTCCTTAACAGCGTCTCAGCGTCAGGACCACTCTCCGTGTCAGATGTCAACTTCGGCTTTTCTCATTGAAGACGTCACCTCCTCTTGCTTTCAGCCTCTTCTCACTCGCTTTCTGGTTCCCAGTCTCTGTGAGGGACACCAAAGCAGAACTCATTAGGTAAACAGGCTTCCAGGAAGGGGGCTGCGGGGAGGTGCTCCCTTAAATCAATACTACCCATTTGGGGAGTGAAGGATTTGTGGTGTTTTTCCATGAGCTGCTGTCCGACAGCAGCTACTGGAGCAGTTCAAATACCTCCTGCTGGTGGCATTGCTACAACCCCTGCCATCTGCGCTGGAAGCACCAGGCACTGCGTCTGCTGCCAGCACAAATCTTTGGATTAATGAAACTCCCAACCAGCGCAGCAGACACGCCACAGCGTTCTTCCCTTTAGTATGAATTAATTTCAAACCTTGAGTTTATGGCCTATATCTATTATTATTATTATTATTATTATTATTATTATTATTATTATTATTTTAATGGGGGACAAGAGTGGAAGCTTAATTTTGCCTACCAAGACAACATCATATCCAGACAGCAACTCAGGGGCAATGTGAGAAGGATTTCTGACTATGTCATCAAACAAGAAACCTCATAGGGACTCTGGCATGGATGTATTTTTTTCCACCGGAACCAAGAATGTGCAGGTTGTAGTCACTGGAAGGGAAAGGGTGGGGGAAAACATTGGGAGAGATGGAGCTGGTGTGGCGCTCGCTCATGGAGTCACACACTCGAGTCACTAAGCGAATAAAGATTTTACAGCTTCAGCAGAATGCGGTAATGAGCAGGCACGTAAGCACCGAGCATCAGCACGCCCCACCAAGAGCTCTCCGAGCCATGGCACCATTCTTGCTCCAGATGGCATGGAAAATAATTCATAAATGACAAAAGTTCAATGAGTGGATGGCAGCTGTTCAGCTCCAGCTCTCTGGCCACCCACTTCAGGAGAACGGAGAGCTTTCAATCAACTCCTGCATCCCAGAGGGCCTTCAGACAGCATCAGAACATGTGTACAATATGTTCTCAGAAAGGAGCTGGCCAAATATGAAAGATTAGAAAATCAAGAGAAATAAGAATAGAAGTGCATACTGTTTTCTCCCCAAATCCACAATACCAAGCAGGGATTGAGAACAAAAGACTTCACAGTTTTGTAAACTAAACTTCTCATTGTCTTCTTATTTTGTGTTTTTACTTCCATCCTGTGTATTCACTGTTAGAAGAATCTAGAACTTTAGCAGTGTTACTTTAACAACAGATAATCAATATGTGCCGATTTTCCCATCTAGTTAATCAAATAAAGCCTAATATGAAATTATCTCTGCCTAATATTGGATCAACCGCTTCTTTGAAACACGAAGGCGCTCACGTTTTTCACCTTACTTCTGAGTTTCCAAGTTAAAAGAAAAAATTTAAGTGTCACTTGACC